TGGCTCAAGTGGTAGAGTGCTAGCCTTGAGCTGAAGAGCTGAAGGACAGCGTCCAGGCCCAGAGTTCAGGCCCCACGACCGGAACCCCCCTCCCCCCCCCAAAAAAGTTGTTCAATTCCCAATTCACATCTATATCCCTCCCTTATAATGTCTCAAAATGACCACACAATAAGATTTGTTAGACTGAACACAAAATTAAAAAATTAACATTAAAATTAAGAACTGTCAATATTTGAAACTATCCTGAATTTTTAATAGCATGATATGAACTGAGTAACAAAAAATAAATATAACTATTATAAAACAAGACCCTTCTAGTACCTTGATATGTTTTACACCACAGCTGACAAGTTTATTTGGCTGGTACAAATCCCAAGAAATATCAAATATCTGTAAATAAATCAGATTCATTGTTAAAATATTTATTTCCAACATCACTTAAGAATTATGTCGAAAAGAGCACATGTTCAGTACCCCATCTATTAAAACGACAGCAATATGAATACATAATAACTAGAATCTTGATTACAAACTCATAAGAAAAAGTAAATATGAAAACACATGATAAGGAATAAAAGCTATTTCTTAGTTTTAACTTTATAAGAGTGTATTAAAATTTGATACTATTTATGTTTAGGCAGGGTATTGCTATGTAGTCCATGGTAGCTTCAAACTCAAAATGCTCCTCTCTCAGCAACAAAGATTACAGGTATGCATCAATATGCCTTGCTCTACCCTGTTTCCCCCCCCTTCCCCCTCGCCCCCCCCCCACTACAGCTTACTTAGCTCTCTACCTCTTGAGCCAGCCTGACTTTTGCCAGCTAGTTGGAGATGGAGTCTCTTGTACTTTTCTGGCCAGGCTGGTTCCAAACCAAGACTTTCAGATCTCAGTTACCTGAATAGCTAGGATTATATGTGTAAGCCACCAGTGCCCAGTTAATTTTAATTTTTTTTTCTATGTGTATGGCAGTCCTGTAGCTTGAATGAAAGGCCTAGGTGCTATCCCTGAACTTTATTTTTTATTTTTTGTTGGTCGTGGGGCTTGAATTCTGGGCTTGGGTGCTGTCCCTCAGCTCTTCAGCTCAAGGCTGGCACTCTTCCCCTTTGAGCCACAATGCCACTTCTAATTTTCTGGTGGTTTATCAGAGATGAGTCTCACAGACTTTCCTGCTTGGGTTGGCTTTGAACCTGATCCTCAGAGCTCAACCTCCTGAGTGGCTAGGATTACAGGTGTGAGCCACCAATGCCCGGCTCCCTGAACTTTTTTTGGATCAAGGCTAGCACTCCACTTGAGTCACAGCTCTACTTCTGGCTTTTTAGTGGCTAACTGGAGGTAAGACTCTCATAGACTTTCCTGCCCAGGCTGGTTTCAAATCACAATCCTTAGATCTCAGCATCCTGATTAGTTAGGATTACAGGCATGAGCTACTGGTACTGGTACCTACCATAACTTTTAATTTTTTAAATAATAACTTGGTCCATAAATAATAATAGTTTAACAGAATTAAGTCATAGGCATGTACTGCATAATTTCTACAAAGATAAAAATTTGCAGTTAGAAGTAAGAAATATTTCTATAGCTTTCTGTACATTTACTTAGATAACAATTTCAGATATTTGTCTTACACCAATGTTTTTCTTTTCTTACTGTGTATGAGTCAACTAAAATTAATTTACAAATACTTAAATTTTGGAGGTCCTCAGGCATTGTTCTTATCTAATATTCTATAAATTATAAAGGCATACACAAAATACTTTTTGCTACGAGCAAACACTCAGATGAAATAAAATATGTATTAGAAACACAAATTGATCACTAGAAGACAAAAATTTTAAAAATAATTTACTTATTCTACCATCACTTTGTTTCTTTGACCACTGTATGCTTTAACTTAAGATGTTTATACTTCTAAATATGTTGTTATATTCTTATGATAATACATCTTTCAATTGGTGTTTAATAATACAGGTCATATAAAAATATATCAACTTAAAAATACTAACCACCAAAATATTTTTGAAATTGTATTGATGATATAATTTTTATAATTGATAGTAAGTTGAGCTAAGTAAATAAGAACATACAGTTGTCATAAAATGTTACATATTATGTGTTATATGTATAAGTCTGGGTAACAGGATCCTTCATGACTATACTAAAAAACAAGTATTTTCTTAAAAATGCAAATAAACATTTTTCTACAACATTTCTGGATTCATAGCTACCTACAAAATAGAATCTTTTACTATGCCTTTATGTTGGTTCAATACATACATACACAAAAACATAAAAATTATACATTTTAAAGATATATGTTGGAAGTGGCGCTGTAGCTCAAGTGGTAGAG